ATTTAGGCTTCGTTTGATTCGGTTTATGCTTACATAAAAAAGAGTTTTAGAAAAGGAGGTTGAGAAAAAGCCGTTCAATAAAATGGAGTTTCAATAATGAGATATGTTTGACTAATATTTTTAAAAGTGCTTATTAATACTTGAAAGTAATTTTAAATTGTTTGTTTAGGAGTTCTGCTTTTGAGATTTTATTATTTAATACTTGAAAGTAATTTTAAATCAGTAATTCGTTTCCGAAACTCCGTTTTATGACCGAAGAAGCAGATACGAAAAGAATTTTGTAACCGCCGAAAAAACGATGCTTATTAAAAAGGAATTATTGTTAAGCTTTGATTCCAAATAGTAAATACTAATTGATTTCGGCGTATTCAAACGGAAACGGAGAAAAAAAGCCTTATCAAACGAGGCCTAAAATAATGAAATTTCCATAAACAGTTATAGTTACACACTTCGAATATTTTTGTATTTTAAGTTCCTTTCCAAATCTTTAAGCATCTAAAATATAACCCCAATACTCATCTTAATATGAAAACTTTTTACTGTTCAAAATAACATAATATTTTAATTTATATTAAAATCTGATTTGGATATCTCAAATATCATAAAAAATTAAACTTTCTTCAACCATTTTCAAAGAAGGCTTTTACATAATTGAATCTCATTAACATAACATTAAATAGCTCTAAATCATTTCAAACTATCTATTAAATCAAAATAATTACCGCACTACAGTTTTCCCTTGCAAATTTCCTTCTTTCATTGTTGGATCGAGATAAACTTTTCACCTTACTGAATTTCTTCCTACTGAAAATCAAATTGTATTTCTTCATATTTCTTCAATTAGAGAAATGTAAATACATAAATTCAACAAACTAAATTACTCACTCCTTCCTTCAACTTCAGAGATAGAAGAAACTCTAAAAAATGTCAATTTCCTTCCTCTTCCAAGATTTCTTCCTCTGCACTCAATTTAGATAGCAACCCTTCCTTAGGTTCCAATTATGAAAAAATTTGTCAAATAAAAGTGAATAAAAATAATCAAACTTACTTCCTCTCTCCTTCTTCCTCTCCGCTCAATCCTCTCGGTTGAAGCTTCTCACACGTTTTGCTTAACAGGAGTGAGTGAAATGGAGATAATTCTCACAAGGAGTTGTTAGTTTTCATTCCGTACGCGAATATCCACTCAGAATCATAATCCGACCCGTTGAAAAGGTTCCACATACGCACTCATCCAATCGGCCCGTGTTCTGCTCAGGTTCCACCTCCTGCTAAGTAAATTTTTGAAAGTTTTTATAAATATTATAAATATATTTTTTAACTTGAACAATAATTTTACTATAGCAATTATATTTTAGCAGATCTAATATCTTAAAAATTTTATAAAAAAATAACAAAAAAGCAATACCAAAAAGTAGTGCGACAACAATCTGAAAAGAAAGATGATGAAAAAAATTACCCAAATCAGACCCTCATATTGCACTCCTTGACAACTTAGCTAAAGCTGGAAGCAAACATTCAGGGTATTCCAAATGTTTCTTCCCATATGTGGCTTTCCAAAATTCTATTGCAGCATTTGAAATAGGAGGATGTGGGTGATCAAGAGCTGCTTGGAGGAGAGGTGCCTGAACTCTGAGAAGGCTGGCATTGAAAATGATGGCTGGATTGGACCTCTGCAAACAGCCGAGAATATTTTCCCAGAGACAGTACAGTAGATGATTAACACTACTAGAAACGGGATGACAATATGAGAACCAAGGAACCAAAGGTTTGGAAATCACCTGCAAATGAAACATTTTGTAATTTTTAAAACAAAAAATAGAAATCTTCCTGCATATTAATAATACATTGCATGAACCAAATATCACTTCAGCACGTTTTCATTCATCCTAGTTGATAATTTTGTTTGGGATGACTTTTTTATTGTTTTTTAAAATAGAGTTTTAATACAAAAATTAAAAAGAAGCAATAAAAAAATCGTACCAAACGAAGCCTACATAAATTGTTTACAAGAGAAGTCATAAGGGATACGAAGGAAGCAAACAGTTCCGATCTTTGAGCTATCGTAGCACCAAAAAATAGTTGGGGGAAATATACTTAAAATTTTCTTTCGGATCAAAATACCCTCGCACTTTTGACACTGGTATTTGAAAAAAGTTTGAACAAAGTTATACCAATGTTGGGTCCATATTCAAACATAGTTTGAATCATATTTGAATCTTGTTCAAATGTTATTCAATCATTCTTGGAACTCAATTCAATTCCAACATGAATTAATATAGGTTCAAAAATCTTTGAACATAAACTATAACTCAGCACACTACAAAGTTAATATACCAGAGTGAGTGCAATCAAAATAATAGATTAGAAGAGATAAAATAATAGTTATAACATAACACAATGCATTTTAAGAGTGTGATTCAACTGTGCAATTCCAAAGCTATATAACAAAATCTATAATACAACAAATGTAATTGACTTATTCCAGATCTGTGGAGACTACTGATCTGCAATACTTATCAAATGATTTGTCCAACGTAACTATGATAGAGCCATAGGACTTAAGTATCTCTAGATGTGCTCAATTATTTGACAACATCAAGCAGCAATATGCTGCAAAAAATATAAATTAAAATTGCTGTAAAGAACATCCAATTTTTCATACTTTCAGTAAAGACATTTCTCCCCTTATTATATAGCCATGCTGTTGGAATATCAATTATTAGAATCACATGCAGTTGAAATGAAGATGATCATGATGCATTCAATGAGGCAAAATCTAGTACAGACCTCTAAGACCATAAGAATATCTTGCTTCAAGCAAACATTGCCAACTAATCTAATTACAGCATCAAAAACCCTGCAGCTCACATCAAGGAAACACATGAGCATAGTATAAGCAACGGCAAAAGGTGTCATCATCTACAGAAGCAAGATAGCAATATCATATATAAATAAGTCATAAAACAGCTACCTGTCAATCATCGCAACCCCACATTGCTGGTTTATTTTCAATATCATTAGTGATATTCCCAAGAATCTGCATTATGCAGCACAATTGTTACGTACAAGCTACTCATGCGTATGTAAGTTTTTCATGAGTGTAGGAAAAACAAATATTTTGAAACCAAATCTAT